ACAATGATATTTCGCACTTTACCTCGCTCTATGGGCAGGATTCATCCTTTTAAAGATCTTCTTCATTGTTACCCTCCGTTTCGAGCCACCATATCCCCATGCCCAGGGGCTTCTCGCTTCCTCACTGACCTTGTGGGTAGCGAAGTTGAACTTGACTTTGGAGATTACGAAATTATACTACCACCAGAGAATTCACCAGAGGGTGTTCAGCACATCAAAATCAGAGAGGTTCCTTCGCATATCACATTGCCCCCGTATGCTCGACCGAGTCCCGTTTTGGGTGGAGGCTCCCCTCCAACGAGCAACAAAAGCCGGTTCGCTCTCGGTAGTGAAGAAGAGAGAAATATGAGAAAAGCGTGCAATCTTGCGAAACGCACGTTAGATTATGCGGGCAGTTTGATCAAAGTAGGTGTGCAATGAGCCAACGATGGTATCCATTTGTTTACACCACCTTGTAGGTCGGAGAGACTACTTCTCGTATAGACGCTCTAGTTCATGACTTTATCGTTGCGAATGGGGCTTATCCTTCACCTTTACGATATTACGGTTTTCCAAAGTCCATTTGCACGAGCGTTCGTATACTCCGTTACCTAGGCGAAACTATGTACTGAATTGCTAACACAGGTGAACAATATTGTATCACATGGAATACCCGATGAGTGAGTCAGAATGCCTCTTTCCCTATAATCTCTTGGCTAATCATCCACCACAGGCGTCCGCTACAAAACGGGGACACTATCAACGTTGATGTTACCGTTTTCTTGGATGGGTACCACGGAGATACCTCGCGAACGTTTGCAGTTGGGGACGTGGTAAGCTAATCCGCCACATCTCCCTGGCACCCCAAAATATTGACGCCTTTTCGAATATAGGATACTAAAGGTCAACATTTGCTTTCGACTGCTTATCGAGCATTGCAAGTGGGCATAGGTGTATGCGGCCCAGGCAAGCCAATCAAGGGTATCGGGAGTGCGATTCAGCGCTTCATCAGTAGCGGTCGGGTGGATCCTCATAGCCAAGTTCTTCCGTTAGCTGGACCAGTCCCCTTGCAAACCGAGTCAAGACCTCTGCACGATGGTATAGTGTACAATATATGTTCTGCCTTCTCTGGACACGGAATTGGAAGCCAATTCCATACCCGACCTTGGATTTACCACTCGAGTAGGGATTTTCCTCTCTATTATTCATTAGAAGAGTTTCTTAACCTTAGCCCTCAGGTAATGATGAACCCGGAATCATGGAACCTGGAGATTGCTTTACAATAGAGGCAAGTTCATCAACTTGCTAAAGATCTTTGCTGAACCAGTATTTCCAGCCTATTGTTCTTCAGTCGTATCCTGGCGAGCCGACTCAAGTTTGGATCTGGGGTGATGAATGGACTACCTCGACGGAAAATGGAGCAAGGGGTGCTGTATTTGAGCATACAGTGATGATCACCCCTAATGGAGTCGATATACTAACCCTTTGAAAAGTCACTATAGTACGGGCTTGGCCTGTAGCATAGCTTTGCCGTCCTTCGGCGACATAATATAGGTGCACTGCACAATACACAAAGACGATTAATCCCTCAAACTTTGGCTTCCAGTTTCCATAAGACCTAACGTCATATACGCATAGTGAATAGACTATACAAGGGATGAACGAAGAGTAAAGGTCGACAGAGAACACGAATCCGAGTCCAAAGTCTGTATCTACGACCCACATGAAACTAAACTACAACTTCCACCCCTCATATCTGTCCGTAACCTAAATGAGTGACTGCGCTTACGCGACGGGGCCGACAAAGGGACGTTTGACAATGTCAGCATAAGCATGTTTGGGACCAGTGACCTTGACCGCGGTGGAAGTGGGGAATCCATCGACGCCGTCCATCTCAAAGTAGACATTCTCCCATTCGGAATCGTCGGTAAAGCCGGTGCTGGACGAGATGGAGTCGTGACGCACGACGCGAGTTCTGTCGGCACGATCAAACGGGATGACGGGACGTGCAGTGGGCGATGTAATCATCTCATATCCACGTGAAATGTTGTGAGATTCTACAGAAAAGGTAACGGCGTCAGAAACGTGCGAGTCGACGATGAACGAAAAAACATACCAGGACGATGCTTGGCTCCTGCCAAAAGGGTGCCCATATCAATCTCTTTCTTGGGGACACTCTTCCCCGTGGCACCTTCGATAACACGTTCAGAGTTCACGGTGCCGGCCTCTTCATCTGGCGTCACGCGCACGTTCGGACTCTCATAGCCCGCATCATCGTCGTCATCCCCCTCACTCAACTCCGCCTCGGGTCCATCTCCAATCTTTCTCGTCTTGTGCTTGCTACTGCCCTTCCCATTGTTGCCGCCGCCTCCGCCGCGGACAGCTTTGGTGAGCTTCTTGGACGAACGGGAGGTGTCGGAGTAGGGTGCACCGTTGGACGAGGGAGGAGTGACGGAACCAGGAGATGCTTTGGGGGTCTTGTTCGAGTTCTGAGACTTGTTTGGTGCTCCGGGGCGCGGCGCTGCGGGGACAGGCTGGGTACGTTTGGGGTTGGGCGCGGAAGGCATATTTCTCTAATACTGCTAGTGGTACAACAGAAACCCAAGGATTATTGCGAAGGAATAGGAAAGTAGAGTAGGTTATCGAATGAAAATACGAGCTGAGCGACGAAAATAACGCGAGTCTGGAGGGTGAAACTGATACGTCAGTTAGCTGGTTCGAGTGATGAGCTCTGGCTGGGAGTCCAGCGGAGAGAGTGTAGTATAGAATGCGACTCACAAGTAGATTAACGAAATATAAATCAGATATATATATAGCTTGGGAGATAGATTCGAGAGTGAGCTGGTAGTTGAGTTGACGTAGTGGAAGGATTCAAGATCCGTAGACCCAAAATGGAAAGTCGCCGGCCTCCGAACACCGCGGGTCCAGCCTTCCCACTGCTTTACCATACTTGGGGGTCTGTGCGCAAAAAGTGCCTCCCTGTAATATTTATCAGACATTCTCAAGGAGACGGATCCAGCAGAGCGTTCTATTTGGAAAGCGTCCCCAAGTTTGAAATCTCGGTATAATGGGAAGCATTAAAGATATATATATTGTGTGCGTAACCATTGTCCCTCAAATTACCCATACATAGCTAAAAAGGCTTTCTAATATACGATGCTGATGGCTAGTAGCAGTGCTGCGACGAGGGTACCCGTCATGCCGACGGTCACAGAGGGCATTGAACCACTGGACCGGGTCGTCGTACTCGTGCTGGTCTGACGGCCAGTTGAGCTGACGTAGGTTCGACTGGGAATGCTCGCGATGTCATCGCTATCTCGTCCGGCGTATCCGAGGTTGCTCGTCCTCGTCGCGATATCACCGCTTCCGCCGATAGCCGGGCTATCGGGATTGGTGTTGGTCTCGACGTAGGCATCAGAAAGGGGACGTCCTTGGCACTGCATGACTGGCTTGACGTCAAACGGTGGGTTGTGTCCGAGGAGATAAGGGATGGTTTGACCGATGGCCAAGTTGACGGCCTCGACGTAAATATCGTGTTGGAGCACAATGACACCGTGGTCGGTAAAGTTGGCACTCCAGTCCAGGGTTTGCTCAAAGCGGCGCTGGTTGGAGACCGACTCGACACCACCTTGGTCGACCGGAACGTGGACGAGGTAATCTATTTGGAACGGTTAGTAATGGCATTGAATAGAGCTAGTTCTCTCACCCTTCGAGTCCCATTCAATAGCTTCTCCGGTAGCAGCATCGGGAACGCTAGTCCAGATGACGGGCATCATACCCATGCCCAAGGCAATAGCACGAACACGGTCATCGATATCACCATAAGGAGGCCTCATAGTGGTGGGCGTGACACCAGTGATATCCTTGATGGCCTTTCGGGTCCATCCGAGCTCGGCAACGATTTGCTCGTTGGTCATCGAGGTCAAACCGAGGAGGTCGGGACCGCCGTGGCTCCAGGTGTGGATACTGAGCTCGTGGCCGTTCATGTACTCGTACTGGAGAATGTCGGGGTGCGAGATGGCTCGCGAACCGACGATGAAAAAGGTGGCATGGAGCGACTTGGATTCGAGGTATCGGAGAAGCTTGTTGGTGTAGAACCCAGGTCCGTCGTCATAAGTGTGACCATATTGCATGCTATCGGCACAAGTCGTAATATCAACATCACGAGTGCACTGTCCGCAGGACCACCAGCACCGACCATCGGCGCCTCGCTGAGCAAAGGCCTCAGCGTTGGCCGGGTCCGAGCAGATTCGAGAGGCAGTCGGTGGATAATCTGGGACGGTGCTCCAGTCGATTTCATCCATCCATTCCTTGACTTGTGGGCTATCGACAGGAGGGATGTGGTCCAATTCGGGCCATTCACTGGGGAGGATGGTTGCTATAGGGCAACCGTCAGCAACGCTGCGTCCAGACGAAACCAAAAAAGGCGCCAAAGCTCACCAGCAGGGAGAGGAGGAAAGTTTGCCATGGTGGGTTGGGAACCCGCCGTATACGTAGCCTCTACGGGCAGAGTGTTTTCGGTGTAGCCACCAGGAGTTGGGACGATGGATTCGAGAGGAGGGACCGAGTACGCGGGGTCAGTTCCCGATGGGTAGGGTTCTTGACGCCTGAGGTGAGACGCCCGTTTTCCGTACCGCGCAGCGAAACCCTCATCGTGGGCGAGCGCACATGTGGCGAACAATAAAGGAACGACGATTGCTTTGCGTGAAAGCAGACCAGACATGGTTTTTTAGTAAGATAGAGAGGGGGAGAAAACGAGTGGACGAAAGTTGGTGAATAGGGGAGGGGGAAGACCACGAAAAAGGACGGAGCAAAGTTTTGCGCTCGAGATATTTATGGAACGGCAAGGGCTGTGAGAACTCTGACGCTCGGCGCGCTTCCAAAACGCCGTTTATATGCGAGTCCCTGGTCGAGCAATATGAACCTCGCTGACTCGTCTTTTTGTCTTGGCCTTCACACTATGCTACCATCAACGCTTACCTAATGGGTTATCTTCAGCGGACGGTCGTGGAGAATTGCTAGGGTTGCGAGTCGGCACGAAGCGACCCGAGGCTAGACTCGGCTGAGAACCAGTTTCAAGGCTCAAACTACGGTCCCGTCAGCAACAGCTATCGCTGGTTTGTAGCAGACGTACCGGCGACGAAAAGTGTGTCAAGCGGACTAGCGGCCATTGCACAAAGTGTTGGAGGTCACAGCGAGCATTGTTGTCTGTAACTCGATGTAAATGAAAGAGCAACGTCGAAAGAGTGTTGCCACATGTATCTACTGATGGACTGGCATAATTGTCGGTTAAATCGTTCCAACGGTCCAGGCTTTTGCCACTCGACTCCTTGACGCTATGTCGGAATCATGTCACGCTACAACTGACACTAAATGTTGATCAGTTCCAATAGATGAGGCAACAAGAATGTGATAGGGTCAATGTGGTGGAGAAGAGGAGCAGGCTTGGCCTTGACCACCTCTTCCCAAAAACAATGGACGTTTTCCCCGTCGAAATAATTCAGCAAATATCCGATCACTTAAGACCTCCTATCTCGACGACTCGTGCAAATGAAGCCAATATCAAGTACATGACCAACGCTTGGAACTGGTGGTCTCCGCGCCCCCATTTCTTTGTCACTGATAGAATAAGATTAAGACTGAAAATACGGGAGGAAGAAGAAGCCCTAGGACGGGAATACGCTAGGCTAGGTCGTATTGGCGATCCACGCAAGCACTATATCGACATCCTTCCATTCAGACTGTCAGTCCCGAAACTTTAGCAAATATACAATCTCTCTAACACACCCAACAGAATCAATAGATTATTTCGAGATATATTCACCCCTTTTGTCTATCAAGAGATGGCTCTATTTGACTGGATGGATGATAGGACACTCGATATTGCCAATCAGTATGGCCGCCACGTTCGTTCTCTCCGTATCATTATTAGGAACGAAGATACTCTTGAACCAGGACGCTTTCAACCAGAGGACCGCCTCTGCCGCATCATCTCTCTCTGCCCCGAGACTCGGTCCATTACCTTCTATTTTTTCCGACATCCCTTGCCTGCTTGGATGAATACCCGTTCCGGAAAGCTGATGTATAGCATATTGCAACTCGAACGACTCAATTCGGTCGGTACCTACATGATACACAAGGATAGTACGAATGCTCCATATCAAGCTTACCAAATTGAAGGTATTGCTAACTCGAAAAGAGCGACCGATATCACCCATTTGGATATTTCCACTACTTCTTTGTCCAAAGAAACTTATCAACTTTTGCGCTCTAGGTTTATCTCTCTCGAACACCTTTCTTTGTACGAAAGCTGTGATGTCTTTCGAACCTATGGACCTAGCGAACTAGATTGGTCTTCATTCCGACGTCTGATCAGTCTTAGTATCGCAGGCGACCCTGGTGCTAACTTTACCTTCATTGGCTCAATCCCAGAGTTGGTTCGGACCTGCCGTTCACTGAAACAACTCTTTCTCTCGGATCGCGGAGATGAAATGGATCCTGCAGATCATGGTAGATCGAAAGGCTGGAGCAGTAGTCAACATGGCTGGTGGAATCAGCGCACGCCATTAGAATATTTCCAGTTGGACGTTAAAAAGTCTGCGACAATCTTGCTTGTTGGCTCAATTCCAGTTCACGAAATGAGACTTATCAACCGTGATTATGGTCACTTTGATGGTCCATTCTCTATAGACCCAGAAATCTTTCCTCACTTACAGATTCTAACCGTGCATTCTAGTTTTATTCGAAAGGCATGGGGATATGATCCGGACTCAATATGGACCGAACCATTATGCCACTTGGGAGAGGAAAGAGATGTAGATATTCGAATTGAGGGCGTACCCTTACCTTGATCATAGTGACCAGAAGGTGATAGGTATCTAGTTATAATACCTTGTAACTGGGTTTGCAACAGAGACCCTTTTTATGTAATAAGGCTCTCGGAAGTCTCAATAGTAATCGATTTCTTCTCTACCCATTCAACCACGATGAGGGCCAATTGTGGGGTACGCCAATAATACAGTTGGACCTGACCACTCCGTCTTCCAAGAGGCAATGAACGCTCTTCCCACCGAAATAATGCACATAATATTAGGTCATCTAAGACCCCCCATCTTGACGACTCGTGCAGATGAAGCCGCTTGCAAGTTCACGACCAATGCTTGGAATTGGTGGTCTCCACGTCCCCGGGTCTCTCTTG